TATCTATCTATCTATCTATCTATCTATCTATCTATCTATCTATCTATCTATCGTGCTGGTCAACTCCTAGTGACTTTGGCCAGTACACAAATAAAAACAGTTTTTAAAAATACAATAAAAAAACAAAAAGAATAAATAACAAAGATAGATGACAAAATCAGACAGGAACGTGGGGTGAGGAGCAGGGAAGGAACAAACTCCTACAATCTGAGGAGGCTTCTCCCACCCTCACCAAAGCCCTGGAGAAGAACTTCTTCAAGTCATACATCTCATTTCTTCTGCTGTGAAGTTGGGCTACAACTAATGTTCTACTTGCAGATGAATCCCAATGTACTTGGTACAACACATTTCCAAATAAGCTTCCTTAGAAGCATGACCTTAATATATTCACCATCGTTATTTTGAAGGAAGTTATACTCCATAGCTATCTTCCATTTGTAGAATAGTGGCCAGATTGCACCTTGATAAAATTTGCAATTAAAATATAAGGCTAATTAACTGAGGTGCCTTCTTCCAGCCTCCTGCCTTTGAGATGGATTGGTCTAGTCCAAATATCTATAGCTTTATTCTCTTAGTTCAAGCCTGCCTTTCTTGGGATTCAGGTAAGAACTCTGAATCAGAGTTTCCTATGCTCTAATTCAACCACTAGAATCATGCTTAGTAAATCTTCTATTCAGGATTTTGTTAACGTGGCCTCTTTTCATCGTGTCTCTGTCAGAATTATTTTTGTTATTTTTGAATTTCAGTATTTTCAGATTCACAACAATTAGCAGATGTTACTTTAACATGAAATATCTTTTAGCATGGGAATGAATAGACTGTTTGAGCCTTATTTGCCATGATCCCGAGCTCTTGACTTTGATGACAGTGCCTAATGGGAATTGAAAACACAGGATTGTCCTCTAAATCCTAATTTAGAGTCCAAAAAGGGAGCACACAATTTCCACTGATTCCAGGGCCACAGCAGATTTTGTGTGGTATAATAAGGACTCTGTCCCGAAAAATGGGTAGAGTCAGCTCAGCTCCCCAATTACTGGGAAGATTTGGGTTTCATAAAGGGTGAAATGGGACCTCAAGTCTTTCCAGTGCTTAGTGATCCAAGTGATTGCTCACAAATACCATTTCCTGTCTTGCCCTCCAGACTCAACATGGGAGGTCAATGGGTAGGGCTCATGTGGAAAGATAACCTTCTGTAGCTATGTATGAGTTACATACGAAAAGGCTATCCAAATGGATGTTGCGGACATGTTCAGTTGGGGGACAAGAGAGAAACGTTAAAAAAAAACACAATTACCTTGAAGATTGCCTACCATGAAATATTCCTTCTTCATGATTTGACTTTGCTCAAAAAATAAAACGGCTCCATTTCCAATCCGTAATTCATCTATGTGTCTGTTCCAACCGCTTTGTTCAGTTGTTCTATATAGAGTCATCTCTAGTACTGTTATACCGATTTAAGTTTCATAGACCGTGTCATTTATGTTGCCTATATTGTTCCTACTGATAATAAGAGAATTCTGTTCAGAATGCATCCTGAAAGTAGATTGTTATGGCGGCAATCTGAAATCCCTCCTACCTTTCAAGCCTCATTTCTCATCTCTTCTCTTGGGCTGGACCTTGAGTGCTAATTAATATTGTAGCATTTTGGATCAACAAGTAATGTGAAAGATTATATTTAGGGAGCGTGGGCATATAAAATAAGTTATTGAATTATATGTCAAATCTCTAGCATCTAATTTAATATCCAACTGCTTTTCTTCTTTGCCGCATAGCACAGATACTCCACTGATAAGGCCCAGGGGAAGATTAAATTATGGGATCTAAACGTTATCAATCAAACATCCATGGTTACATGAGAGTTGCTTTGTCATACTAGTTATTGTTGAAAAATCCTGGGTGGCGAACTTTTAAAGCTGAAAGCATGATTGTGGGATCACAAGTTGGTTCCAACTTTGTACGAACACCTATACTAGCATGTCATGAGATCTTGTGAGTTTTGGTGCTATTGTGTGATTTTAGCTGTAAATAATCTGTTGGGGGAATCTTAGGCATGTTGCTTTTTGTTACAGAAGCATCAACTTTTGTTTCCAACATACTTTGCTTCCTAGCTTGAAGAAAACTTGTATTTTAATTTCTAAAATTCTTTTTTTGTTTGGGGTCAGTTGTTGTACAATTAAGGTAAAGAGTTGTTGCCTGTTCTTAATCCCCATCAGTTGTAATAAAAATGACTTTTTGAACTCTGCCTTTATATATCCACATCAGTCCTGGCCAATCCCAATAACATTGTATTATATGATCTATTGAACTTATTTTAAGCATTTTGCTTTTCTTTTGTGATTGTCCATTGGATGCAATTCTGAAATAAGCCTCCTCTCTCTCTCTCTCTCTCTCTCTTTCTCTCTCTCTCTCTCTCTCTCTCTCTCACACACACACACACACACACACACACACTATCTAATTCGCAAAGACTCTGAGTCTATAGTACTATTCACTCAATCTAATCAATGGGCTGGCATATAAAATGTGATTTGCTCAGATGCATAATTTTCTTTTTATTGTTTTCTTTTTTTTATTCTAAGCTACTAAGAGACATTCTGGAGTTGGCCATCTCTATCTAGTCCACTTTAAATCTTTAAAAGTAAGCTTCTTGAATCCTGTTATTTATTGTTCCTCTCAAAATATTGATAATTCTTGATTCAATTCTATATCTTATTTTTCTCTTCTGTAAACAAGAGCCCCATATCTTCATTGGACTCTTGCAAGTTTTCCAAATATTCAGATTCTGCTAATGCTGTTAATTAAGGATGTACAAATGACTTTGCATTTGAAATGTTTGAAGTGCTCTGTTCTGAATTCAAAGCCTTTATTCCTACCATTCCAAATGTGTTTTGCCC